TGCTGTCCCTGTATCGATACATTATTAGCAAACAAAATATCACAATACTACACAGTATCAATTTTTTCCCCACCCCTAGTCTGTATATATTAAAATTCACATAAAGTAACAAATATGTAACAAACACGCAGCATGTTTTCTGTTACATATGCCTAAAAATGAAAACTTTTTTTTAAAGAGGGATAAACCCACTACCAATTTATAACAAGTACATAACTATAATTTGTCTTTACCTACATTCAACTCAATTCAAAGGTTATTTACATATCACCAAATCACAACAACAGTTGCTTCAAGGTGCTTTTTATTGTTGGGTAAAGACCCTACATTACACTGACATTACCACTTAACGCATAATCAATAAAACTCCAAATATGAAATCAGCATTATTTTTGAACATATTTATAAAATAGCAAAGTTTTGCACAAACATCATCACTCACCCACAAAGGCCAGAATCAGGGCGAGCACGAGCGCTCTCATTGCTGACAGGGTGGTGCTGGTCTGCAGAGACAGGCAGCCTTTTAAAGGGAAATTTGTGCTGACAAATTGCAGGAAGGTATGATTCAAACCCCTGGACATTTGATCATTGCACTCATATATCAGTGGATGAAAAGTTAGGGTCACCTGCCCTTGTTCTCTTCAAATATGGCAGGCTAAGCCCTGACGTGATGTGTAGAAATTTTCATTGCGTTTCATTCGAAAGTAAAACTGAAAAATAGAATTTTTTCACAACAATCTTTTTTTGTTGCAGTGTATTTGCTGATGGGTTTATCTTTTCATTTTTTCCCTGACATATAACTAGTCTCCCTTTATCCAAAAGACTCATATAAGAATAGCAAAAAGGTTCATTAAAAATAAGGTTTCACTGACATTTTCAGTTGTTTACATACATGTCAAGTGTTTGCTTAAATATTATTTGTCTCATCAAATCAAGCCAGTGCCACTGATTTATTTATTTTTTTAATGTTGTAACATTTGTGGCATCTCTCCATTAAATTATTCAAATGTGGTTTCAAATAAAGTGAGCAAACAGCAATAGTCACGCTGCCCCTTTATCTGAAGGGGGCAGCGTGACTATTGCTGTTTGCTCACTTTATTTGTTGTGGTCAGACTGTGAAGGCTGTGACATTTTAGCAGATCTGCCTGCTCTGCTTTTATCTGCTGTCAACATTTTTCTGCCAAATAATATGATTAATGTGACGGTTGCTTAAGTAAAATTTACTTTGTTTCCATGTTGTTTTATTTAGCTTTTTACTTATGCTTCTAAATGTTCCCTTTAAAAAATATGAAATGTTGTGAAATATTAGACAGGATCAAAGACTGTAAGATTCAATAAGATGACTATATCATACTTTTAATTGACTAAAACTGAGCAAATTCAGCTGATTATAAATGCAATGTATGGGGTCACCCCCTTTGCTCACCTTGCAGATCTCATCCCTTATTCCCAGTTTGAGTTTTTAATGGCTTGATCCAGTCCCAGGCCCCATGCTGGATGTCATTCCTTGCTCCCCACTCACCCACTCTGTAGCTGTCACTAGCAAATGAGACCAAAAAACAAAAAAACTAATCACATGACTTGTAAAACAGATTGATGATCAGAATGATTAACAGAGCTCAAGTTTCCCAACTGCAGTATCAATTAATTATATTCTAACTTCCTATAAAATTGACAGTGTAACATTACTGAATACTACATAATATTTTAACCATGGTAAGTACATGGCTGTGTCTCAGGCTTCTCATCAAGAGCCCACTTTCCAAATCCCATCTCATTTTATTAACAATGCCTTTTTTGCAATTGATGACAAAATAAATTTAATTCTTAAAGCTTCTCATCCCAACCCTGATATCCTAATATCATCCTATCAATGAAGTTAAGTATAATAATAACTACACTGTAAAATGTAATATTGTGTTTAATTAAAAATATTAAATAGGCTGAACTCA